TTTGAGATATCAAAAAAGTACTCCAGAGTGTTGTTCAGCATGGGGGTGAGTAGAAAATGAAGGCTAATCATGTTTTGGGTGTACTATTCCTTTAAGAGAAATTGTAATTTTTTTTGCTTGATTTGTTAATAAAGGTTTTTTTTGTTTTTTTTTTAACGAGATCTGTGAAACATTATCATTGTGTCATATTTATCATGTAAATTGATCAAGTTAAAACTAGTCTACAAATAACTGCAGCACATATCGGGGATCGGTTAGGCTGAAAATAATCACCCTCTGCATCGGCCTATGGATCCCTGCATAGTAATTAAGGGCCTTTTGGCTGCTTGTCTGAATAATGCTCCTTTTCCTGTCTTGTCATTTTAGGTAGCCTCTTTCCACTTTTAGATAACTTAAATAAAGTTCTGTCAGATGTTCAGCGCAAAATGTATTTATATATATTTTTTAACATAAATCTAAAATGTTCTCCCCGACTATCTGCAGTGTTCTATGCTGTTTGTTTTTGTTTTTTGTTGGTAACTTTAACAAACTTCTGAGGCCTTCAGATAACAGCTGGATTTATACTGGGATTAAATCACAACAGGTGGTTTGTTTAAACGCTTTTGAAAGGCAACTGATTTCAGATTATTTAGGGGTATCAGGGTAAAGGGGACAGAAATGCAGAAATGCAAAGGAATCTATCTTTTTCACTTTTCCAGTTATGAAATACATTAAAATCGGGAAGGGCGTGAATACTTCTAAAAGGCTTTGTATATTTACGAAATGTGTGAATATTCGGTGAGAGAATGTGGGTCGATGCATTTTCTGGGGGGGCCGTTTGTGTTGCTTGAGTGATGCAGGCATCAGCACTGCATTCTGCAGATATGCAACCTGCTCCTCGACTCGCCTTACTCTGAAAACACAAAGGCCTAAATCTTCTCAGATAGATCTGAGCTCATGAAAAGATACCGCAAATGATTCTGCCTCCACTTCGTTTTTTTTCCTCTCTGAATGCTCCTCCATTCCAAGTTATTCCCATAGTTGGGAGTCCTTGAACTGGAGCCTAAATATTTACATCTGGCAGAGGGCTTCCATATGCAAATATTGTAAGAAAGAGAGAGGGGAGAAAGACTAACAGTGTGGTTTTGGATTAAGATATGGAATCGGTTCAGACTACTGAAGCTTCTTTCCCCCCCAATTTCAGAAATAAAGAAGAAAATAAATAAAGAAACACTGTGTGAGGAGATTTCCTCTTAAGTCTGGCCCATATGCCTGCAGTATCCAACCATGATTGGCTGAATGAAAGGAACTAGAAAAAAAATAGTAAATTAATTCGATCTGGCTTTTATGTCTCAGGCAGAAGGGGGAGTTTCTTAATTGTCGCCAGTGTTCCGCCTCAGCTTTGCTTTTGCATTCAACCGTAATGTGTCCCATTCAGGATCCGTGTGCAGAAAAGAGCTTTGTGGAATTTCTAAATCAGAAATTTTGGCATCCAAGTGTCATCCTGGGGGCAAATAGAGGAGGGGTGGTAGGCAGAGAGTCGCCTCAGGACTCGCCTAGCTGAGCCTTCGGCACAACAATAGGATCAGGGGCAAGTCTACCTCCGAACCGGTCGTCGTGGAGAAAATATAAAGCAAAAAACGTGTGACAGCAAATGTGTGGCGGCAGGAGGGTGGCACTAAATCCCACCCACTTTTAAATCTCCATTAGATTCTGTTAATTAATTCATCATTATTCAAATGTACTTTTGCTGGGGGAAAAAAAAAAATCTTTGCATATTGAAGAAGGAGGCTCACTGTAAGCGCAGTGATATACTAACAACACAAAAGCTGATGGGTTAATTAATCACCGAATTGATTAAAGGAGTAATTAGGTGCCTTATTCTCCATTCAAGGCATTATGAATTAAACGGGGGATCATGTGGTAGGTTGGAGGAACTATTTTGATTTAAAGCGATCCTTGCCTGGCACGCATTACGTTATGGTAATGGAAAAACCTGGAGGGCAGAGAGTCAGAGTCGTTTGCAAAGAGCCGAGTTCAAGCGCAGGAGAAGGCCTGAGTGAACAGACACTTCTAGGCTTCACTTAGAGGCTATCAGGCTTGGATGAGATTAAGAGAAGTGTGCAGATGTAGAGGAAATAACCCCACTATCTGCCAATTCACACATACATTCAAACATCAGACAGGTAGCTAAAGAGGGAGTTTGTGACTGATGTGCCAAAAGCGTAACCGCTGAGGATGTAAAGAGCAAATAATGGCTTATTTGGGCATTTGAAGATCTAAAAGCTGAAGGTAGATGCAGATCTTTTTAGCAGAAGCTCAAGCAATTTGAAGGAGATAAAACAGGACCGTACCTATATTTGTTAAAAGTATTTTAAAAGTTGCCTTTCTAAAAAATATTTCTTCACATAACATCTTTATATGACCAAGTTACACAGTTCAAAATTCTTAAACTTAATCAAAACACAGCCTACTATGCTTTAACTTAATATAGTATCTGAATATAATATTGAAAAAAAATGTTTTTTTTTAGATTTGGTCAAAATAAATGTAGAGCAAAGAATTTCTTTTCAAGGATTTTCATTTATCATCAACTGGTCTATATATGAGAAGAAATGAGGGTAGGATGAGATCTGGCTGTTGTTATTAACACTGTGTGAGCAGACCGGTGTTAATCGAAGCCAGTGTCATGATTGTGTTTATAAAGATAATCATGGAGAATCATCAGAGCTCCCATTCTCCAGATTTAAGGTTAGAGCTTTATTATGAAATGGATCAGGTTCATTTTCCCTCAAAAATCTAAACTTTTAGATTTTACTTATTGATAGATATGTATACCCTCCAGTCAACATACTGTTGATGCAGCTTTGGCAGAGATAATAACTAACTTAGGCCTGGTTTGCCTCTTTGCAGAACCTTTTAAAATCCACTGGGATTATTGTGGTGATGAAAGATAAACTATTACCCCGATCTGAGGTTAAGAGTTGTTTAGAGCAGATTTTCATCTAGGGTTTCTCTGTGCATTGCTGCATTCAGTGTTCGCTCTCCACTGCAGCTCAGAAAAAACCCTCACACAGTATGTCGCTGCCACCACCGTGCCTCACTGTAGGGATGTTATTACACAGGTAATCAGCTCAGTCTGATTTCCTCCAAATATGAACAAAAGTTTGCCTTGTGCTGTCTGGCAGCTCTAACATTTAGGCCTGATTTGGGAATTGCTGCAGAGATGTTAATCCTTCAGAAAAAAACCCTCCTCTTCAATTTCGATTTCTTTGTAGATTTTGTTTGCTCTTTTTAAATATATATTTTTTTAAAAACTAAAATTCAACTCGAATGGGGTTTTGTGTAGAAAAAAACTTTCATCTGTTTTAAAACAAGGCTGCAAGATGAAATAATGCTAAGCAATCTCAGGGGGCATGAGAATAATTTTTTTTTTATATATATATATTTGTGTAAAAAAAAAGGATCACTGCCGCTTTTTATCTACATTTTAATTCAACTATTTATTTACATACACTATTTATTTACCATACGTACACAGCACATAATAAACACCCACATAAGAACCAAAATCACTTATTTGACCCAATAACAGGACATCCTGTACAACCTAAACCACGCCGCTCACTGACGCATCCTCCTGAGGTCTACGACAAGTCTCACAGATCAAAAGGATTAGCTTCCCTCTCCGAGAGGAGCCCCCACCCACTCTGAACGTGCTGCAGTCATAATGTTCCAACCCGCTCGCTCCCAGATTCAGATAACGTCTCCCGGACCCCTGGGTCCTAATAGAGACGGATCTGGTTGCCTCTCACCTGACCTCCTCTGATCTCAAACCAGAATTAAACTGATACAGAGAGAAATTCCTCCTCTCAGCAACTGATCACTTAAAACAATTATTTCTGAAGGCCGTGTTGGATCATAAGCACTCTGCCGGGGTCGCAGTGTTGAGGCATTGTGTGTGTGTGTGTGTGTCGGTGTGTGTTTCACTTTAATCACCATCTGCCGGGCTGAGGCCCCGGCTGGCTGGTACCACGGAGATAGAGGGGCTGCTGTGGAGGGAGCGGATGTAGTCCATGTATGGGCTGATGTAGGGGTGTGGAGGGTGGAAGGGCGACTCCGCCCCCACTGATGGGTTCCGCTGGGGGGAGATCCGAATGAGGGAGATGTCGGAGAAAGCTGGACTGCCGAGCGTTGGAGGCCTGCAGAGAGGACACAAGGAGAGGAAGCAGAAAGTTTTGTAAAAACTCAACTAAACTGTTAGCCAAACATGGCGGTGGTAGTGTGATGGTCTGGGCTTCTCTACTGCATCCAGTCCAAACCACTTTCTGAATATCATGCCAATAGTTTGGGCCTTCCTGCTCAAGCAGACTGGTTTTATCATGGAGGTTTTTGCACTGAGGATGCTATGGCATGACCAATGTAAGCTCTGCAAAACATAGCAGCCAATTTGGTTTGGATACCCTTTTCCCATCATAAATCAGAAACCGCATTTAGTATTTACTTAGGTTATATTTTTCATGTGATATTAAAAATGATTAAATGTTAAAAAAAAAAAAAAAAACAGAGGGTAAATTCTTCTTCATTTTCAGAAAGTGGGGTGGACTGACAGTGGTGGGGCAAGACAGATGGATGGAAAAACAATTTCTCTACTTCCTACAGCACAAGAGGAGAATGCAGCATTCCAACTGCTCCCTACGCAGACATTTCCTCAGATCAAAGGCAGCTTTCACCACTGCGTCTTAATCAGAGGGAAACGTTACACCACGCTCACCGCTGGACAGAGCAGGACAAGAAAGCTAGGCCACAATTCTCCATAGCTGGGATGGCTTAGAGCTGAAACTAAAAACAGAAAAGCATGGACCCAAAATCTGTCTACAAGTCTCAAAAAAAAAAAAAAATAGTAATGTCAGGGTTTTTCTCTGTTCTTAGTTTGTATTGTGTTTTTTTTTTTTTTTTTTTTTTTTTTAAGAAAAAAAAAAAGTACAGATGAGAAAAATCGGGGAAACCTTTTAAGAGCCAAGTTTAGGAAAAACTAATTTGTCTCCCTCCTTATAATTGGTTAGGAGGGCCTGGAATCACAGTAATGATGGCCTTCACCACAAAGGCCTTCCCCTGAGGATCTACAGAAATCCACATATCAGCCAGACATTAACAGGGTAAAAGATTAGACTGAATTAGCCCCTCTGCTTCTCTGTGTCCCTCTGTGGACCGCTCCACTGCGACAAAAGGACCCCAGGAGAAGGAGCTGGAGGAGGGGAGGCAGAGGAGAAGTGAGGGTTTAAGAGGGGAGAGGAGCAGGAGATGGAAAAGAGGGAGAGATCTGGCCTCGGTTTGTCTGTGAGTGACCTTGAGTGAGGCCAAGGGGAGCGGAACAGCCTAATTACAACCTCCGCCCTGTCCCCTGATCCCCACCAACCCATTTGTCCCTCCACTCCACGGCCCCTCCTAATAAAAGAGCTCAGTCCAGGGTCAATAATGAGCGACCAAGGGGTAGAAAAAGCACACAAACAAAGACACACATGCAGGGCACATGTGAGCACAAAACTACAAATGTCCTCCAGGAGATGTTCAGTAATTAGCTGGAAAAGGCTGGAATGGGACAATTTAGAAAGCTTTCACTTTGCTCAGGTGTGCGACATCATGTCTCGTGATGCTGATGCAATCTACGATGGGAAATCAGCAAAGCCCTTGTTGTGGCGCCCTCTGGATCGTACCAAAACTTTTCAACTCCACTGCTCATAGATTATCATTTTTTTCACATTCCAGTTCACGTTCTTTTGCACGGCACCTGTCGAAAAGCAGATGAGTAATTTCTTATTTCCGCCATCCCTCCACCGTGCCACAGTGAGGGCATCATCGAATAAAAACAAAATGACTATGTGCATGAAAGAGATGTGTTTACGATAGGCAAGCCGCCAGCCCGCACGCCACCATTTACATGGCTCATTTACAGAGAACACCACACAGCTGCAGCCTACGTTCACTTTGTTGTCACATAGGTGAGCGAGCATCTCACACGTACACAGTAAAACTCTCTTAAAAGCATGTGCAGATCAGAGGAAACATGAAAAACCAGCTTTGTCACCAACTGCAGGGGTGGAACTGCATAACAAACACGCAAACTCATCTCAATAAACTGGGAAATTTCTGCAATGTTAACTTAAAATGATTCACAGCTAAGAAAAAAAATTAAAATTCAATTTCTCAACAACTGAATTTTAGAAATATTTTCAAGACTGTAAAGAAGATGTAGTCCTAACAAAATATAAGTTGTAAATAATGTTTTCATTTCCAGAATGTTGTACCTAAGTGTAATAATGGAAAGTTGAGTGGAAGGATAACATATACACAAGTAAGTTAGACAATGGAAACCCTTTATGTTATTGTGAAGCAAAATCAATCCAATAGTTTTGGGGAAACTGTTAACCTGATCTGGACAACACTGTAGCTGTAGTATGAGACAGAAGACATTAATTAGGCTTAAGGGCCGGTTATACTCCCGCAGCAGTGTGTCGCAGGTATGACGGAGACATTTAAGATTTTTGCTCAATATTGAAGCGTGGTCTGCGCTATGTTTGTTTCACGCCACAACGCAAAAGGGGAAAATCACGAACTACCCGTGGGTCTAAATACGGCCGAGACGTAGAGGAAGTGGGGGCAAGTCTGTCCAACAACATGAGGGTGAAAAAGAGCGGGGTGGAAAAAGGGCACCAGCGTTCTTCTAGCTCTTCTAGCTGATCCATCTTCACGAGTCGTTTTCCACATTGGCGGTCATACAAACAAAACAAGTCTGTAAGGTACCAAACAGGAGACGCATAGAGTAGAGCGGATGTAGATTTTGACCAATCAGAGGCCTCCTGTCTGCGTCCACCTACAATTGTGGAAGAGGTGCAGCAGAGTGTCTGCGGAGGGGGTGGGGACATCTCTGCGTTCACTGCGACACCTACGCAGAAAACCTGGTTTCTGAGTATAAATCAGCCTTTAGTCAACACACACAAATCTACATGTTTATTTCATATATATTGTGCAGCACATGAACTGAAGTTTTAATGAGCTAATGTTTGTATTTGTTGAAATAAAATCAACCACATTTCTTCCACTTTACTTTTCACTGCATTATTCTTAGACACCAAATGAACAGCTATTTTAGCAATGATATTTGCAGGACAACTGTCACTGTTTGCTAAATCTGTCATGCTAATTCTAGGTTTATAGATTTATTTAATATTCGGATTTTCTGTAGACTTATAGTTTTTTTAATTATAATCATAATCGTTAATGTTTACCAGAAATAAACACTTTCGATAAATCAGCCTGTTAATGGATCAAATTACATATATTAATTTCTAATTTAGTGGGATGTATTTGTAATTTACACTTTTTTACATCAAATTTGATACAAAAAAGTTATTGAGGAGAAGTCATTCAGAATGCTACAAGGTGGAAAGTCCAAGGATTTGATAGGAGGATAAACAGTCATCTGGAGCATGAACAGAAGTCAGGGGGAGTGCATGTGAAGATATGAACTATGTCTTTGGGAGGAAAGGGTGGATGAAGAAGACTTATAGCGGCACAGGAGCTGGACAAGGAGGAGAGAACAAAGATGTCTCAGGGGGTATGGAGCCAGGTGTGAGGGGATTTCAGGAGGACAGCTAGGAGATGGATAGTTCGGAGGAGTGTGGGGAAGAAAATGCAAGACGGCAGCCTGATGCTGAGTTTTCAGCTCCTCTGCTGAGCCGCGATCATCTTAGCATCTGCCAGCGTGCATTAATCAACGTGACAAATGGAAAGGAATCTGACAAAGAGCTCCGTGTGTGCGCAGGAATGCTATCCCTGTGCGTGTGTCTCGTGGAAGTAGCGTTTTAGATACACCTGATTTGAGATTTACATCAAAGTTGCACCGCAGGGTTTTCAGGCTCCTTCTTCCCAGAGAGAAAACTCTACTTCACATGTCCCTTCTTCCTCTCATTCTGCTGGTTTACAATTCCTATTAACCTGCATAGAACACATCCGGCAAACATGGCACAAGGAGAGCCGGAGCTTTGCACATCTGGAAGCCATTTCCCTTCACGTGGCCTCGATTATACCAGCCTGCGCCTCTTTTGAGGCCGTACATGTTTACACTGGGCGGCCTGTGGCTTTTAAACTGTCATCTAATTTCACCAGATGAAAATACACTTTGCAAGTGTACACGTGCACCCAAAAGATCTGGAGGTTTTATGGAGCACTGCGGGTTCGCAGTCGACCTTGACTCTTAGTTTGGAGCAAGGTTGGATCAACACTAATAATTTCTGGGGAGAGAAAACTGCAAAAACAAAGCAGTTGTTGGGAAGGCTGGTGTGTTCGCTCAAGGAAAGAAGGTATCATTGTGGTGCTGCAGTTGGACCTGATGGTTTGGACACAGCTGTTGGCTAAAATAAGAATCGCCCAGTAAATGGAAAAGCATAAAATACGATGGAAACAGTTTAGACGGAGAGTATTTGGGAGTCATACTTCTGTGAGTTAACTGCTGCAGAGCTGGACTGCTCAAAGGAAAACGTAAAAGTCTTACATTTTTATTTCAGTTTTCAACAGCAACTCATAAGATCTAAAAGTAATACTGCTGCTACATAACTCAGGATTAAATGGGACATCTTTAAAAAAGACATTCAGATTCGAAAAATGATCAAGACAGATTTCTCTTTTTACCAGACTTTGCAGGACTACATCTGAGCCCTGTAACTATTTATATTTCAGCAAAAAATGCTAAACTTTTACACCAAAATGAGATCATATCTAGCACCGAGAGTCTCCCCAGAGGTTTTAATAAAGTATTTGGAACATGTGCATGCTTACACCTGTGGCCACAAGGGGCTGAGTGATGTGGGAACTGCTGTTTTCTCCTGTCAGGTCCCTCTCCTGACTAAGGCTAACAGAACTGCACATCCACTCCCCCCTCTAGCCTCACCTCAGTCTCACCACCTCACAGATACCCACACCCCCGCATTCACTTTCCATCTCCCAACCCACCCAGCCAAACAGAACAGCGGCACAATGCTGCCGTGACCGCTCTGAAAGCCTAACCCAAAGAGGGGGGGAGAGAAGGGCTCCTGACAGCGGAAACAGAAGCACTTTAAAGCTCAAAACTCTTTCTCTGAGATCAAAGGGCCATAGGAACAGAGCCAGCTGAGACCCAAGGAGAGAGGAAAGAGAGCTGAGA